GCTGCACCCTGTTGTGCTGGTTTGTGTGTGGAGGGGCTGGGAGCGGAGGAGGGGGTACAGGGGGTGCTCCTGGCAGAAGATGCTCAAAGTTCCCCCGGCTCAAGTCGGACCCGCCCCTGGACAAGGCCGAGCCAATTAGCAATGGCGTCGCGCTTTGAGACAAGGGATTTAAACAGGGGAAGTTGGGAGGAGGAGGAGAAAGAGGAGGAGGAAGAGGAGGGGGGAGGGAAATAGCCCTGGAAAGACTGATCGAGAGGAAGGACGACACGAGGCGGGGAGTGCTCTGAGCAGAGACTGCCCTGCACCCGTGGAGCCCCACGGGGGAGCAGATGCCCCCCCAGAGCCCCTGGGAGGGACCCAGGTGGGAGGAAGATCGTGGAGGACTGTCTCCCGTGGGAGGGAGCCCCCGGCGGAGCAGGGGAGGAGTGTGAGGAGTCCTCCCCCTGAGGAGGAAGGGGCGGCAGAGACAACGGGTGATGGAGTGACCCCAAGCCCCATCCCTGCCCCTGCGCTGGGGGGGGAGCAGGGAGAGAAATGGGGAGCAAAGCTGAGCCCGGGCAGGAGGGCTGGGGGAAGGGCTTGGAAGCTGTGGTTGTATTTCTCACTGTCCTGCTCTGCCGGATCGGTACCTCGGGGGTGGGGGGTTCAAATTCCAGTGCTGTTCTTTCTTCCCGATGGAGTCTCTCTGTTCCCCAGACCATAATGGGGGAGTCCCACGTCCCCCTCCCGTCCTTGCCTTGCTACCCCCCGTCCTTTGTTTTAATTATTTTGACCCCATCCCTGTTGGGGATGGGGTGAGGGAACATCTGGATGGGGCTCAGGTGCCCTCGGGGCTCAAAGCCCAAGGCCGTGCTAAGGGGCAAGGCCCTGGGGGTGTGAGGAGGAGGAGAAGGGAAGGGAGGGAGCCGAGCAGGCAGAGCCATGCAGGAGGGGGCTGCTCTTCATGGGCCTTAAGAGCCCCCAGCTGAGCCCCTTTGGCCCCCCACAGGCGCTGGGACAGAGGAGCAGAAGGAGGAGCAGTGCCAGCCCAGGGAAGAGCAGAGAGGGATGCTGCAAGGGCCCCAAGAGGAGCCCCAGAGCCCCACGGTGGCCGTGGAGCACGATGGCCAACAGCAGCCCCGTGATACCCCGGGGAGCCGCAGAACAAGAACACCCCGAAAATGCTCTTTCAAAGGGACGGGTGGTGAAGACCCTCAAGAAGCCTCAACCCAACCCCAGAGCAGCCCCAGAGAGAAGAAGTACAAATGTGAGGACTGTGGGAAGGTCTTTGCTAGTAGCAGCAACCGGACCCGTCACCGATGGAACCACATGGCAGAGAAGCCCTTCAAGTGCCAGGATTGTGGGAAAGGCTTCACACTGAGTACGTACCTCCTGAATCACCAGAGAGCACACACCAAGGAGAAGCCCTTTGTCTGCACCACGTGTGGGAAATGCTTTTCCTGGCCCTCGAACCTCCATGTCCACCAGCGCGTCCACACAGAAGAGAGACCATACTCCTGCTCGTGCTGCGGGAAGACATTCAGGCAGAGTGATTCACTCAAACGGCATCAGGAATCCGTCCATAATGGTGAGTCCTTGAATGAGACTTAATCCCGTATCACGTTGTGCTCAGCAATGAAATGGAGAGGAGTGCTTTTGGGGGTCGTGTTCGGCCAGAGTTTGGTGCTGAACTTGCTGGGCCTCCATCTTCCCATGGGTAGCTGGTGAGTCATGGCCTTGTCCTGTCAAACGATATTTTACCTGCACCCATGTTTTTTCCTCACTTTTCCTCTTCTTTTCCCAATCCTGGGTTCACCCAGACTGGGTGGGAGCAGCCAACAGCCCAACCCTGCCCCATCCTGAGCTGACTTATCTCCATCCCCGGCCCTCTCAGGGGATAGGGGGATTTTTGTGGGGATGAAAATGGGGACCAAGGGTGGGTGCTGGCATGGTATGGGGGAGGAGGGATGGAGGAAGAGGAACAGGGGATACACACAAACAGCCCCAAGCTCCATTGACTTGCACCCCCATCTCCTTGCACACTTCTGCACCGCAGGCAGGGTACAGGCACAGGTTTGTAGCGTCCTCTGAGCCCACGTCATGGGGGGACCCTGAAAGTGCCCCCTCCTGGGCAACCTCCTGGGCTCAGGGGCCTCATACAAGGCTGAGCGGCTTTCCCTCAGCACTGCAACATCCTCCTCCTGCCTCTGTGGGGTGCTCAGCACCCCCTGCCCGGGGCTCAGCACCCACCTGCCTGTGGTGGTTTGTGTGTGAAGAGCTTCTGGAGTGGGGGAAGGATCTACAGGGCGACTACTGTGATAAGTTTCTTGAAGCTCTCCTGCCTCCAAGCTCTGGCCAAGGCTGAGCCAATTAGAGGTGGAGTTGTACTCTGGGACATGGTATTTAAAAAGGGGGAACCTGAGAGGAGCAGGAAGGGTATGAAGGTGGGAGGGAAATAGCTCTGCAAAGAGCGAGGGAGAGGAAGGACATCAGGAGGCGGTAGGAGCTCTGAGCAGAGACTGCCCTGCACCCGTGGAGCCCCACGGGGGAGCACATGCCCCCCCAGAGCCCCTGGGAGGGACCCAGGTGGGAGGAAGATCGTGGAGGACTGTCTCCCATGGGAGGGAGCCCCCGGCGGAGCAGGGGAGGAGTGTGAGGAGTCCTCCCCCTGAGGAGGAAGGGGCGAGGGAGGGTCTGGGTGGGGCTCGGGTGCCCACATGGCACTAATGGAAAAGACCATCAAGGACATTAAACCTGCCCAATTAGCATTAATGACCACAAACAAAGCTCTCTGGGTCCCTACCGGGGATCTCCCAGCCCCAGTAGCAGGTGGAAGCTCTACTACAGCTTTGCAGCTGCTGAGGATGCAGCACTGGGGGGGGGACTGTGCGTACGGAGGAGGCGATGAGCAGGGGAAGGGGTCAGGGGCAGAAAAGGGGGGGACACCCAAGGAAAGGCTGTAGAAGGGGCTGGCAGCGCAGCACAAGGGCTCCTTGTGTGCCTTGGCCATCGCCGTTGGTCCTGTCGTCGTTATTCAATCTCTGTCTGAGCTCTTTGTGGCCCCAGCGCTGGCTCCTGGGGGGACTGGTGTGAGCGGGTCTGGGGTCATCTGCAGGGGTGGGGCTGGGGGTGTCGGTCCCTGCTCTGCAGTGCGGGGTGATACGTGAGGGAGTAAAATACCCAGAGAACCCCAAAAATTCTCTTTCACAGGATTGAATGGTGAAGAACCTGAAGAATCCACATCCCAACCGCGGAGTAGCTCCAGAGAGGAGTTCAAGTGTGAGGACTGTGGGAGGGTCTTCACCTGGAGAAGCAGCCTGAGTCGTCACCGACGGATCCACACGGGAGGGAACCTCTACCAGTGCCCGGATTGTGGGAAGAACTTCACGCTGAGAGAGAACCTCCTGCGTCACCAGAGGATGCACACCAAGGAGCAGCCTTATCTCTGCACCACGTGTGGGAAACGCTTCACCTGGCAGTCAAACCTCATCACCCACCGACGCATCCATACGGAAGAAAAACTTCACGCTTGCTCGCAGTGTGGGATGATGTTCCAGAAGAGTTGTCAACTGGAGAGCCATCAGAAATCTGTCCACAATGTCCAAAATGGTGAGTCTTCACAGGGGGCTTAACCCAATATCCCGTTGGGCTCGGCAATAAAATGGAGAGGCGGGGATTTGGGGGTGGCTGTGGGCTAGATTTTGGCCAGGACCTGGCTGGGCATCCATCTCCCCATGGGTTTGGTTGATCAATCGCCTCCTCTGGCCTCCTGAACTATTTTTCCCCCCACTCCTGGGTTTTCTCACCTTTCCCCCTCCCGGGTTCACCCGCAGAGGGTGGGAGCAGCCAAGAGCCCAACCCTGCCCCATCCCGACCTGCCCCAGCTCCATCCCCGGCCATCCCAGGGGGTGGTGGGAGTTTTGGGAGGGTAAAACAGGGGACCAAGTGTGGGTGCTGGTCCCGGGTTAAGAAGCAGGAAGGACGGGGGAAGAGGAGTATCAAGCACAGGAAGGATGAAATATTCAGAGAACCCCAAAAACACTCTTTCAAAGGGACGTCTGCTGAACATCTTCAAGAATCTACAACCCAACCACGGAGGAGATGCCGACAGAAGAAGTGCAAGTGTGAGGAGTGTGGGAAGGTCTTCATGTCTGTGAGCAGCCTGAGCCGTCACCGCAAGATCCATATGGGAGAGAAGCCCTTCAAGTGCCAGGATTGTGGGAAGAGCTTCACGGAGAGCGGGAGCCTCGTGTGTCACCAGAGGACGCACACCAAGGAGAAGCCCTTTCTCTGCACCACCTGCGGGAAACGCTTCTCCTGGCGCTCCAACCTCCTTGTCCACCAACGCACCCACACGGGAGAGAAGCTGGACGCCTGCTCCCACTGCGGGTTGACCTTCCGGCATGGTGATCACCTCAGGAGGCATCAGGAAGCCGTCCACAATGGTGAGTCCTTGGGTGGGTTTAACCCCGTATCACGTCATGCTCAGTAATAACATGGAGAGGAGGGATTCTGGGGGCAGGTCTTGGCCAGATTTTGGTCAGGAACTGTCTGGGCATCCATTTTCCTCTGGCGAGAGGTTTGATGGACTTTTCCGGCCTCCTCCCATCAAGCTCCTTTTGCATCCACCCACGGATTTTCTTGCTTTTCCTCTTCTTTCCCTCATCCTGGGTTCACCCCCAGCGGGTGGGAGCAGCCAAGACCCCAACCCTGCCCCATCTTGACCTGCCTCATTTTTATCTCAAGACCTCCCAGGGGGCGGGGGGAGTATTGGAGGAGGGAGAAAGTGAGGACAAAGGGCAGGTGCTCATTCGAGATCAGAAGGAGGGATGGAGGGAGAGTAGGAGCAGGAAGGGGACAGAGCACACCCTGGCCCGCCTCCATGGTCACCGCGGCACTTGCACCCTCGTCTCCTTGCACATGTGC